CCCTGTCTTTCTCTTGTGAGTGTATGTGCCCTGTCAATTTAAAAAAAAAAAAAATTATAAGAAAAAGAATAGAGGGCCAGGGCCAGCTGGTCACATGGTGGTTCAGGCAGCTAGATCCCACATGGCCAACTGTGCAGTTGAGTCCCAGACCCAGGGGTTTAAGAACCATACCCAATGTGTGTGTGTGTTCCCACAATCCTGAAAGGAGGATAGAAAAGAAAGGATTGCAGCATGGCCAACCCCACCTGAGAGACACTTTCTCACTTTCCCTCTCTATCTCTGTCTCTCTCCAGTGAGTGCACTTGCCCTATAGCAAAACAAAACAAAACAAAACAAAAAACAAACTGGGATTACAGGAGATTTCCCCCACTGTGTTTGATATTATCTTCCCAACAAAATAAAAATAAAGTTAAATATGCTGCCTTGTTTTTACTCTAAAATTAGATAAAATTAGATCTAGGAATTACAGCAAGTCATGATGACTAACTGGATCTCAAGGATCTCAAGACACATGCACAGTGGCTTCAGGTAACATAAAACATTCTTCAGACTGTGCAGGGGGAGCAGGGAAGGTCACACATTTAGTCAATGAGAATTTACTCTTGCTTGCATTCTTTCCAATTTCACCACATTCTATGAGGATACCCTTTCTCCTTGGGATATATATTTATCTAGCAATCCTGTGGCTACGAGGAATTCACAAACAAAAAATAAAAATACGAGGTGTCAGACTGAATGAGTACCACTTAGAAATTAAGGAAAGGACATGCAAGTGTTGCCAAGGCACTTCCCTAAAGTTTGATTTTCCTTTTTATGCTCGTAATCACATCAGGTGAAGATTCCTATCCTACAGGGGGCCTGACGGTGCAGCAGTAAGACATGACACTGTGAGGCTGACCCACATAGGAGAGTTCTCAGTTCACATCCAGAGGCCTCCCTGATAATGCCAGCATGCACATGCTCTGCATCTCAGGCTGTTTATGGTGGGGGGTGTTTATGGCATCAGGACCCTATTGAGGGTACTCTCTCTTCTTTCTTTCTCACTCACAGAATAAATAAGTAAACTTAAAAAATTTAAAATAGGGGCTGGCAGGTGGCATGGTGGTTGGAGGTGCTGGATTACCACATGGCTGACCGCAGTTTGCGTTCTGGACCTGGCAGCTTGCTTTCTTACTTTCCCTTTCTCTCTCTCTCTGGTCAAATTAAAATAATAATAATAGTAATAATAATAAAATTTGTAATGGAATTAAATAAACAAATAATTCCTCTTTTCTTTTTTTAGTTAAAAAAGAGGGCCTGCTCCATAGGTGCAGTGGTTAAACACCGTGCACAGGAAGCCAGATCCATTATGGCCAACCGTGGTCTGGATCCCGGCCCTGGAGGATGGGGAATCATGCCAGGGGTGTGTGCATGCATGCAAAAGTCCTGATAGGGTGGAGAAATGGGGGAAAAGGGATTACGGTGTGACCACACCCTACTGAAGAATTCTCTCTCCCTCTCTCTGGCAAATGCACGTGCCCTTTGGCAATAATAAAATACATTATAAAAGATTTTGCAAACAAGATTTTTACAATCTGTTTCTAATGGAAAAATGTATTAAGCTCTGAAACTGCTTTTTAAATTATTTCTTATTTTTAGTAACGACAGAGCTCAACAATGTTTCTCCTACTCTTTTTTAAAAGTAAAATTTAGAGGCCAGCAGGGGGCATGATGGTTAAGGCACTGGATTCCTACATGGCTGACGATGTCTGAATCCTGGACCGGACAGCTTGAAAATCACACCAGGTACATACGCATGCATGCCCAAAAATCCCAGGAGGAGAATGGAGATGGTGAGACTAGGGCACAGCTATCCCCCTGGGGGGTGTTTTCTCATTTTCCCCTTCTCTGTGTCTCTCTCTGGTGAGCATTTGTGCCCCATGGCATAAACCTTTAAAATATATATAATTTAAAAAGATGTATTTCTCAAACATTTTCTATCCTATAGCTAAAAAAAGAAACTAAATAAAAAAACAAACAAACACACACACACACACACACACACACACACACACACACATTTATCAGTCCAAATAGAAGTTCTGCTTTCCATATTCATGTAAAATTAAAAACAAAGTATAGGGGCTGGCGGGGGAGATGATGGTTAATGGTGCGGGATTACCACATGGCTGACTGTGGTTTAAGTCCTAGACCTGGCAGCTTGCTTTCTCACTTTCTCTCTTTTGCTCTGTCCCTCTCTGGTTAAATTAAAATAAATAAAGTTAAATTAGAGTAATTCTTTTAAAACAAAAACAAATTACAGTTGTAATTTAAAAGTAGGCAAGTATAACTATTTTAGCCACTTTATAGTCGTATTACTAATACTTAAGATAGATTTGCAATAAAAATTTGAATTCCATAAATGGAAATTGCTGTGTAAATACAAGATGATATGTAAATAAGCACTAAGGCATTGTCTTGACGTAAGAAGTCATCTAGTTGGAATCTACTAGCCATGGGTAGGATACTATTGCTACTAGTTCAACAGTTACAGAAACAGCAGCCATGTGAGTTGGAGAGAAAAATGGAACTTGGAAGAGGGACGTGAGCATGACACCCTGAGTCTGCTCTCCCATGCAGCAATGCAGCAGTGTGCACACACCCTCCACTCCCCTTGGGCTCCAAGCTCCCTAGTTTATGGTGCCAGTTGACCTGAGATGAAAAGGCAGAAGACACTGCCAAGGTTACAGATCAGAAAACAGGTCAGTGCAGGGACCAGCAGTTAGCGTAATGGCTATGTCGCTGAACTCCCATATAGCTGACCACAGAGTTCAAGTCCTGGACCCGGTGGCTTAAACTCACACTGGGCGTGTGTGTGTGTGTGTGTGCATGCCCAAGATACCAAGAGGAGAATGGAGGAGAAGGGATTGCGGCGTGGCCATCCCCCTGGGGGGTGATTTCTCACTTTCTGTCTCTCTGTCTCTGTCTTTCTGGTGAGTGCACGCACCCTATAGCAAAAACTCTCCAAAAAAAAAAGAAAACAAACAAAAAAAGAAAACAGGTCAGTGCACATGGGACTGGCAGGAAGGCAGATGCTGACAGCAGGCCCTGGACATGATGCAGGTGCCTACAAGCACACACCACATGCATAGCTGGGTCAGCCCATGGGACAATGGGGAACTAACTGCTGTCATAGACCTGTTATTGGATTTAAATTCTCCACCCTCCCCCCACCTCCAAAAAGGAAAGATGCAATGCCTCCTAACCATGTGACCATGCCTCCACAGCTACGCAAGAAGTCTACAGTGTGGCCACTCAGAACTGAAAGTAGTAGTTGAAAATTTCATAATTATATTTAACAGGCAGATGGTTTTCTGAATGAATTTATGATCCTCTCAGACATGCAAATGGTTACAAGTATGGCTCAGAATCATGAATTAAAAGGGTCTTCATCTTCCTTCCTCTCTAACTGCCCCGATGCTCTTGGAAGGGCCAGGCATGGCCAGGATGATATACACTGCAGCCAGCTGCTCTTTCTGGTGCTTGGCCCAGATTCAGGGAAATGTTAAAACCTGAACTTCAGAGTTGGCATAACACATGCCTGGGGGACCTGTTGCCTTTTACTCCCTCTCAGCTGCAAAAAGAAGTCCTAGAATGTCATCAGGCTGGGTCACATGTCCTGAATTAAGAGTCTCTGGATATGGACAGTTGAAGAGCATCAGTGTTTCAAGCCTGCTACATGTACCTTTTCTAAAACAATCTGCCTGGGGCAAGAGGTGGTATGTGAAGACGCTGGACTCCCATATGGCCAATTGCAGTTCAAGTCCCAGACTTAGAGGCTTGCTTTCTCACTCTCTCTCTGGTGAGCACACATGCCCTATAATAAATTTTAAAATAATAATAATATATTAAATTAAATAATTATTTTTATAAAAAAGAAACAATCTGCCTGAGTCATGCCCATGGTCCTGCTATCTCCCCTTCCTTCTTCTTTACACCTACTAAAGGAGAAGAGCCCCAGGTGCAGCAATACAAGCTGCTGGTCATTTTTGTAAAAGTAGATGCTCTGCAAGGCTGACCCATATGAGCAAGTTCTAATCTGCATCTAGAGACTACCCTGAGTAAACTGGGCACGCATCGCATGATCTAGGGCCAGCTGGGGCTTGGATTAATCTTCGTATCAAGACCGTCTTGTGGGTACTGTCTGTTTGTTTCTCTCTTTTTCTCTCTGGTTCAGGAAGAAATAAATAAATGAAACTTAAAAAAAAAAAAAATCCAGGGACCAGTCCATGGCATGGTGATTAAGGCAGGTGGATCCCACATGACCAACTGTATGGTTCAAATCTCAGACCCGGAGACTTGAGAAATACCCTAGCACATGTGCATGCCCATGTGCCCAAAATCCCAAAAGGAGGGGGGAAAGGAGAAGGGGTTGTGATGTGAGCATTTCCCTTAGGGAGTTTCCTCACCTTCTCTCTCTCTTGCTCTCTTTTTCACTCTCACCCGTGAATGTGCATGCCCTCTGGCAAAATTTTAAAAATATACATCCAGGGACCAGCAGTTAGTGTAATGGCTATGTCGCTGGACTCCCATGTAGTCGACCGCAGTTCAAGTCTCGGACCTGGCGGCTTAAACTCAAGTCAAGAGTGTGTGCGTGCGTGCCCAAGATCCCAAGAGGAGAATGGAGAAGGGATTGAGGCATGGCCATCTTTTTATCTCTCTGTCTCTCTCTGTCTTTCTGGCGAGCGCACACACCCTATAGAGAAAACCTCTCCACAAAAAAAGGTCTAAAAAAATATATATATGCAGAATACCAAAGAGCCAACTGGGTATGCTGGTGTGAACTTGATAAAGAGAATGTCCAATGGGTAGGGAATAAAGCTCTTAGCCAGTCAAGGGGTTCTCATTTCTTTGCTTCCTACAAAGTCAAATTAGGATCTAAACACAATGCCTATTATGAACAGTGGCATTTCAGACAGGGTCTCACCATATCACTAAAAGGTCTGTTATAGATTTTAAAATCCAAACCCAAGCCCTCAAAAGCACGCTCACTTTAACTTGGGGGCCTGGGAGGGATTTTCCTATAAGGGGGACTGCAAGACCATCATAGCCCTGAGACTGACTTTACCTGGGAGTCAATGACAAATATCAGAGCTCCTGTTCCCCTGAAGATCATCTCGTAGTCAAACGTTGGGTCAAAAAAGTCAATCTGTCCTGGGAAGTCCCAAATCTGAAAATTGACAAAGGAGCTGTTGGAGACATCTTCCCGGCAGATCTTGTTAGTACTCTCCAAGAACAGCGTCTCATTGGGAGACATTTTGTGAAAGACAACTTTCTGAATAGATGACTTGCCACTCCTCCGCAGGCCCATGAGCAGGATTCTGGGCTTCACCTCAGTACTGAAGGGATCACTGAAGTCCAGAACTGGAGAAACCACAAAACAAGAATGAGGGTGAGACTCTTTCATGGTGGTTAATTGGAGGAGTTTCACTTCCACCTCCAAGATGATTTATGATTCACAGACAATGCTATGCTACTCTTCCAAACACCAAAGTGCTAAAGACATCACCCTACTCATGGAGGGGACAGCTTTTGGTAGGTGCAAGGCACTAAAAAGTGGTATTTCACTACCTCTCATACCACCCCAGAGGGCCAGACCCCTGTTAAGTGTGTCATTCCACATCACAGACAGACTCTGGAGTATGAAGAGCATAGATTGGCTGAAATTTGTCTGTTAGTGGAAAGAATCCAGGTCTTAGCATTCCAGAACAATGTCCTTCTCCATTACATTATCACAGTCTCTGTGCACCACAGAGATACTTGTTTTATCTGAGTTACACCTTTATTCTGTGTACTCTCACATACCACAAAAGCCTGGAAAATGACATGGATTAGATACCTCAGATTGAGAATGTGTTCAAGTGCTTGCCTATTTCATGGGAGGCAGACCTCTCTCAGGGCCACCCTGACTTAAGCCTGCACCATCCAGTAAGCTAGCTCTAGTCATTTATAGCTATTTAAATTCAAATTGATGAAAATTAGAAATCCCGATCCTTCTTATATGATATTCTTAGAGAGTAGTCAAATTCATAGATGCAGAAAGTAGAATGTTGGTTTCCAGAGCCTGGGAGAAGAGATTGGGGAGCTGTTGTTTAACACATAGAGTTTCAGTTGGGGGAATATGATAAAGTTTTGAAGATGAGTGCATAACAATGTGAGTGTACTTAATGGCACTGAATTGTGCACTCAAAAATGGTTAAAATGGTCAATTTTATGTTATATGTATTTTTCCACAATAAGAAAAAAATCAGTTTCTCAGTTTCATTAGTGTCTGAAAGTACTCAATAGCCAGATCTGGCTAATGTACTAGACTGCACAGAAGTAAAACACTGATACCATCACAGAAATTTCTATAGGTCAGTGCTACTCTAGTCCCTAATAACAAAAACCCAACCCTAAAATCCTTCACCAAGAATATTAGAGAGTTTAGAAGTAGGAATTGGTGTAAAGGTTCAAACACTGTAGGGCTCTCTCTCTGTTCTTCATTTTTGAAAAACAGATAGTATTAGTTCCACAATGTTGTGGAATAAGACAACCACTTAATTTCTAAGTGGGCTTCCTACTTGACCAAGAGCATACATTTCATAGGAACAAAGAAAGTGTAGTCTAGTGGCCAAGTATGAGGGCTCTAAAGTCATCAAGACTTTGGATGTGAACTATTGATCCTTGGAAAAGATACTTAGCTATTCATATTCAGTTTCAAAATCCATAAAATGGAGCTTATAATGACAACAAACATCACATAGAACTGCTAAGAAAATTGAATGAGATAAAATACCTAAAATAATTATATGACTCATTCAGCAAATGATGCTGGGCCAACTGAATGTTTATCCACATGCAAAAATAAATTTGGACCTGTACCTCATGCCATAAACAAAACGTAACAAACTCAAAATGAACCAAATACCAAAATTCAAGAGCTAAAACTATAAAATTCTTAGAAGAAAACATAGGTGTGTAAGGCGAGCAGGTGGTGCTGATTTTAAGACAGATGGATTCCACATGGCCAACTGTACAGTTCAAGTCCTGGACCCCATGGCAGCTTGAAAATCACACCAGGCATGTGTGTGTGCATGCCCAAAATCCCAAGAAGAGAATGGAGAAGGGATTGTGGCATGGCCACACTTTCTCTCTGTCTCTTCCTGGTGAGCACACAGGCCCTATAGCAAACTAAAAACAAGAAACATAGGTGTAAATCTTGGTGGCTTTGTATTTAGCTATGGTTTCTTATCTATGACACCAAAAGAAAAAGCAACCACAGAAAAAAATAATAAACTGGAATTCAAATTTTAAAAGAGGGCCAAATGGTGGCACGGTGGAAACACAAGGCTTTTCAATGCTGGACCTACATGAGAAGATTCCAAGTTTATGTCTTATGGTTTCCTGAGGTGTCCATGAACATATGTGCTGGGTACTCTCTCATTAAAAAAATAAATAGAATTTTAAAAATTTAAGTGAAAAGGTAACCTTCAGAATGGGAGAAAATATGTGTAAATCATATATATGATAATAGTCTAGTATCTGGATTATATAAAGAATTCCTAAAAGATAATCCAATAAAAAGAGAATCTGAATAGATATTTCCCTAAAGAAGATACATAAATGGCTGATAAATATATGAAAAGATGTTCCACATTATTAGCCATTGAAAGAAACACAAAACAAAGCCACAATGAAATGCCACTTCATACCCATCAGGATGGCTATAATCAAAAAGACAGACGATATCAAGTATTAGGATATAGAAAAATTAGAACCATCACATACAGCTGGTGAGAAGGTAAACTGGTGCACTTTGCAAAACATTTTATTAGTTCCTTCAGTTAAACATAGAATTATCATATAAGCCAGCAATTCCACTCCAAGGAATATACTCAAAAAATGAAAGCATATTTCCAAAAAACCACAAATGTTTCAGCAGCATTATTTATAATAGCCAAGTGGAAACAAATGAGTAAGTAGAAAGTGGTATATCCATACAATAGAATATTATTCAGTCATAAAAAATAAAGCACTGATTCTTGCTACAACATGAATAAACACTGAAAATATTATACTAAGTGAAAAATGCCTAACACAAAAGGTTACATATTATATAATTTCATTTACATGAAATGTTCAGAATATACAAATCCATAGAGACAAAAAGTAGATTAGTAGTTGCCAGAGCCTAGGAAGAAGGAAAAATGAGAACTGTTAATGGGTATATGGTTTTGCTGCAATGATGAACATGTTCTGGAATAGTGGTAACAGGGTGCTAGCAGGTGGCATGGTGATTGAGGCTCTGGACTTCCTGCATTACCAACCGCAGTTCAAGTCCTGGACCTGGCAGCCTGATTTCTCACTAACCACCTCCCCTGCCGTGAGCACGTGTGAAAAAATAATGATGATAATAGATAAAATAATTCTTTTTTTAAATTTCAATAAATAAATTTAAAATAAATAAATAATAAATAAATGGTGGTGATGGGGCCAGTAAGTGATATGGTGGTTAAGGCACTGGATTTCCACATGGACAACCACAGTTCAAGTCCCAGACCTGGCAACTTGAAAGTCATGCTGGGCATATGTGTGTGCATACCTAGAAATCCCAGGAAGAGAATGGAGGAGAAGGGATTATCGCATAGCCATCTCCCTTGGGGGGTGATTTCTCACTTTTCCTCTCTCTGTCTCCTCTGGTGAGCACACCACCTTATGGCAAAAACCTTAAAATAAATAGTAGTGATGTGTACCTTTACAAATATATTAAATATGGAACTGTATATTTTAAAAGGTCGAATATTATGATATGTACTGTATATCTAAATTTTTAAAGAAAAGTTTCAAGAATAATTCCCAAAAATTAATAAAAATAAAAGACCCAGTATGACATTTGTTGAAAGATCAGGAAAAGAAGACATGTTAGGAAAGAAGGGGGGCCAGCAGGTGGCATAATGGTTAAGGTGCTGAACTCCCACTTGGCCAACCACAGTTCAAGTCTTGGACTGGTGGTTAGAAAATCATGCCAGACACGTGTGCATGTGTGCTCAAGATCCCAGGAGGAAAACAGAAGAGACTATAGTGTGGCCATCCCCCCTAGGGGGAGGGGTGATTTCTCAATTTTCCTCTCACTGTCTCTTTCTCTTTTCCTGGCAAGTGCATGCACCCTATGGCAAAAAACCTCTAAAGAAAGAAAAGAAAGAAGGAAGAATATAAACAAATATAAGGACATACATATATTAAATTAATTTTCTAACTTTTTATCCTTCTGAACTGGACTTCATTTTGTTTTTCTCTGCCCCTGGTTCCAATCTAACCCTAATCCAATAAACACTAGCAAGTGAGGCCAGCAGTTGCATAATGGCTATGTCGCTGGACTCCCATGTAGTTGACCGTGGTTCACATCTCCCGGACCCGGTGGCTTAAAACTCACGCCAGGTGTGTGTGCGTGCGTGCCTAAGATCCTGGGAGAAGAATGGAGAAGGGATTGCCCACATGTGGGCCATGCCCACATGGCCATCCCCCCTGGGGAGGATGATTTCTCGCTTTCTGTCTCTCTGTCTCTCTCTGTCTGGCGAGTGCACGTGCCCTATAGCAAAAACCTCTAAAAAAAATTAAAATTAAAAATAAAAAAAAACTAGCAAGTAATCCTTTATTTTCCTATTATAATTAACCATTTTTCTTCCAAACTCTACAATTGTTTAAAATACATGTTAATATCTGATAATAGCTTAGTACATTTCATTTATTATATTTTATTTTGATGTTTAAATTCACAATAAACATAGGTAAACACACAAATTTCTCTCTCTTTTTTTTTTTTTAAAGGTTTTTGCTATAGGACCTGTGCACTCACAAGGGAGCAGGAAGAGACAGAAGGAAAGTGAGAAATCACCCCCCTGTGGGGTGACCACATTTCAATCTCATCTCTTCCATTTTCCTCTTGGGATTTTGCTCATGCATGTACATGTGCCCAGTGTGATCTTCAAGTAACAAGGTTTGGAACTCAAACCGTGATCAGCCATGTGGAAGTCTAGCACCTTAACTACCGTGCCACCTGTTGGCCTCCACACACAAATTTCAGATAACATAATGATTGAATAAAGAAAAAGCAAGAAGGTTCAGATGTGCCTGGATACAACTCCACTATAAGCAACATCTCACCCTACCTTACCCACACACACTATTCCAGTTTAACACAACCCAACTCAACATATTGTTGATGACATGATTTAAACAATAGTGTAGAAGTAAACCACCCAAGGACCAGCAGATGGCATAATGGTTTCATTGCTGGACTCCCACATGGCCAACCATGGTTTGATTTCCAGACTCAGGCGCTTAAAGCTCAACATCAGGTGTGTGCGCATGCATGCCCAAAA